TGCCTAAATGCACTGAGTTGCCGCCATGTGATTGGCTGCTTAGAAATTAAGTGTTAACGAGCAGTTGGACAGGTGTACCTAATAAAGTGGCCGGTGAGTGTATGTGAGAATAAAGTTCTTGTTTATCGTCTTTAAGCTTCAACTTGCAACTTTTAGCCAATCCAGATTTCTCTTCATAGCCTATAAAAGGAGTGAAATACTGGTTGTAACATGGTTAGCTTTACAACCCAGGATCCCGATTTAAACTCTCTCAAGGATCTTATAATATTAACTAGCTTCATAATTATGCCTCTCATTACAAAAACAGCAGCGTAACGCTGTAGAATGCAGATCCTGAAGGCTTCCAACATTTCTAAATCCAATATTTTTCATAGAAGTCAGAAACCAATAGTTCAAAAGGATCAAATAAAACCTTGGTGCGGTACTATGTTTAACCTTCCTGTTGTCTGCTGGATATCTTGCTCTTTCTTCCCTAAATAAAAGACAACCTGCTTCAACATGTGGTAGCACATGATGTGTCCTTTTAAATAGCCATGCTTGTCTTTGTGTCCCCTCTGACTTTATTATAAATTATTACCTAGGAGATTTTTCTTTTTTCTTTTATCAGAGTAACATTTTAGCTCTCCACATGATACATTTACTATCTTAAAAAAAACTGTTTTTTCTCTTGCCCGCAGACACCCATCCATCAGAGCCATTAAAGTGTCTAATATGTTCTAATGATGGATATTTCTTGTATTCTCATTTACTGGTTTATTATTAATTTTCTTCAAATGGCCATGAAACATACATGATAAATGTGTAGAAAAACCTCTTAACTGTAATACGATGCAACAAATATCCTTTGGACTGAAACCTGATTATCTTCTCTCCTGACCTTCAGGATTTAACTCTGAAACACGGCTGGAGAACAGGGGGCCATCATCCCTGAGCTAAGAAAGGAGATAAAGATCATGAACACTCCACAGTACGTCCACATGATGACCTGGTTACAGGCTCTGACAGTGCTGATCGAACAGATGCAGGTCAGGAGACCATTGCAGACATTTGATTTAATCTTCTTATATCCCTCATTCTTGACATCTTTGTCCCTTATATCCATGGGTTTTCTTTTAACAGGTGCACCGGGATCCAGCAACCCAAGCTGTCGTTGAGGAGTGGATCAAAGAAAGAGAAGCCATGAAGTAATTAAAAATGGGTTTAATCTGAAAATCTGTAGCTACGCATGACTAAACTTCCTCAGCAGTAATGAAGATACGTCTTGATTGAACAGGGTTTCCGTGGGTCATTAAAAATCATTAGGCAAGGCAAGGCAAGGCAAATTTATTTGTATAGCACAATTCAGTACAAAGACAATGCAAAGTGCTTTACATGATTAAAATACAGGAAGATGAAAAAGAATCAAATAAAAAAAATAAAATAAAAAAAATGCAGAAACAAAAAAGTTTGGACTAAAGAAAATATGTTTTAGTTGAACAGTCGAAGGCAATCCTAAACAAATGTGTTTTAAAAGTCATTAAATTATTATTGTTTAAATTAAGGCCTTAATTGGCATTAAAATTCATTAAATGTGTTTGTGATGATATTTAAAAAGCTTTATTTAAAAAAAAAATTTTGACAGTCATATTATATCACTATATATTTACGTGGAACTGCTTCCGATTGATCGCAAAGCTGTACGTTCAGAAAAGAAGCTTGAGTCGGAGAAAAAGCTAGAGAATGGTAACCTGACTCCGCCAGATGGATTTGCGCCGCATATCCATCTGGAAACCTTCCGTTGAAGCAATTTTGGGAAGGGGTGAAAATACTGGTTAGCTGATTGGCCTATGTTGGTGATAGACGGGCCAAATAAACCAATCAGATCAACGAAGCATATGACATACTAACAGCCAGGCTACTCTTGCCGAAACCAGTCGGGAGAAGAGCAAAAACATCTTTTCCTCTGAGAAAAGCCTCCAGAGCAGTGTTTTGCTCTTCTTTCAGTGAAGCAATACTCTGTAATTCCGATAAAACTTGCTCGTTAGCCACGCTAACGCTAGTTTCATCGGCTCAAGCTGCCATGTTCTTTAGACTGAACTGTCGCGCTTCTTGTTGCATCACACCTCAACCCGCCTCAAAGCCAACGCTGATTGGACGTTCGTTTGGTGAACGGCTCCAAATTTTCTTTAACTGAGTCTCCAGACTGATCTGCGAGTGAAACCTTGAAAGCTCGCGAGATCAGGATGGTCTCACGAGGCGAAGAGAATGGGGGGAAAAAAAGCAAATTTCAACAAAAGTGGTTGGAAAACGAGGAATTCGGTATCTGGCTGCAGCATGTAGACGGGTACCTGTTGGTGGAATTAAAATAATTTTTAAGAGCTTAAAAAGAGCATTAAAAAGCATTAAATTTGAGTTATTCATTCCTGTATAAACCCTGTTGAATTGTTTTCTTGACAGGCCGCTGACGAAGGACATCTTCAACGCTCAGTTTGGCAGTCTCTTCCGCACTTACCACAATCCCACCTACTTCTCTCGCCGACTGTCACGCTTTGCAGACATCTACATGGCATCGATCAGTTGCATGCTCAACTATGACCTCCAGCACACATTTTTTCCTAGACGCACCCCTCTACAACACGAGGCCCCCTTCTGGCCAGAACAAAGTTCTTCTGGATTTGGGATCTCTTCTTCTTCCCTGGCTCCACAGAACCAAGACAGGGTCTGATTAGTCACGGAAAGAGCAGAAGATAAAGATGGAACAATCCCCTCTGCTTTATCCTTTAAGAGGTGTTTTGATAGAATTAGGTAGTGTTTTAGAGGGCATATATTGGTTTTAAATCGTTTCCTTCTTAAGCAGGAAGGCTTGTAGATCATAATCTTGCATTTATTTTAAAGTCCAAAATATAGACCCATTCAAAACATTGTGAAACCAACAAATTAAATAGAAGCCATCTGAAAATTGTCAAAGAGCTGAGTCTGGCAGTGGGCACCCAAGACAACAGCGATGACAGTCAGGTTTCCAGCTCAAATTTTACTTCACGAATTGAGGATATTTGAGTATTTATGCAATAAGAAGGAGAGCAATAATTTTAAAAAGTAATGAAAGGGCTAAAAAAAAATCTGAATACACCCAACCTGCTTTCAAGATCTGTCCAGCATTTTACTCCAAGGCTAGTGGGACACCAGCAGCCCCGTTTCTCCCAACAATCAGAATACTTTATATTAGCATCAATTGTAAAAGTAAGTTTCTAATGTAATTAGTCTGTTTACTCAGACTTAAAATAGATGGAAATCCTGTCATAATATATTCTGAGGACAGTAGCTTTTACCACGTCGTTTGGCCCTAAAATGTCACTTCTAGCTAATGCAGTCAAATAGTCCCTTTTGCAAGGACAAATACAAAGAAATTATGCCGTTACAACTAATGTTGAAAGCCTACATTTTATGACCTTATGACCTTTAGGCTTAGATTCAGCTATTATAGAGGCTTTTGTGGTCTGGCTGTTAACGTCCTGCTTATGCTAGAGATTTAGTGGTGTTGTTTATGGGTCTCTCAGCTTTGGGTTGTTCCATCCCTTATCTCTTAGAATTATTTTTTTTTCTTGGGGGAAAATGTGATTTGTTTGTGTTTTTTGGGGGAGTTGAGGAGAAATCTCATCTTTACTTATGTTTGCTCAAGTTTTTTCACTCCTTTATTTTCATCTGCCATATTTTCACCATATATTATTTTTGGGGGGTGGAAATTACACTCCGTTCTTTGATTTGCTTGAGGTAATTTGGTTACAGACGATGTGTCATCTGCCTTAGATACCTCCACCAGCTTGTTTTTTTTGTTTTTTTTTTTTTCAGAAAATATGTTCTAAAATAACTTATATGCTTTAAAAATTATGGGAAACTCATTCATTATTTATTAAAGTTTTTTTTTTAAAGATTTTTATTCTTAATTCTGGCTCCAAAATAGTGTATATTTGCCCTTTAAAGTAATGAGATTAAAATATTTTTTTCTTTAAACGTGTTATTTATTTGAATACTTTCAGATATTTATGTCTGAAAGAGCACTGGGTGTTTTATTTTCTAAGCCAAAAACTGCTATTATGTGCATGTGTGACGGTGCGAGTAGGTTGAATAGATATTTACGTAGCTTGAACAGTAGGGGGCAGTCTCACTCCAGGATTAGCATGCACTTGTGTTTTTGTCTTAATGCCTCTAGCCTCCCCTGGTAAAATGGGGGGTTTTTACATTAACACTGTATTCTCCATTGCCTTAATCTGTTTTCTTTTTTCTCATTACTGCAGGATGTGTTTTTATAATAGGCTGATGTTATGCAGTATTTTTCTTTCAACTGATTTTGTGCAGCACATTGAAACTTATACCACAATGATGTTTTAGCATATTTCTTTGTATTGGTTTAGCCATTTTACACCAGATTATGTCTTATGTCAGAGGACTGGTAATTGAATATTCTTGTGAAAGCTGCTGTTCCATCAATGAACAAAACATCCTTATGCTGATTTTAAGTGAACAGGGAAAGTGTTTTTCTTTTCTCTTCCTGATATAAAACCATGTAAAGCACTGATACATCATGTAAAAGGGATTATTAAATAAAGTTTTAGTGGCAATAACCTTCACATTCATTTGTAAATGTGCTTCATTTGATCATCTGTGTCCTCTCCAGAGCTAGATGGCATTCTTTACTGTAGTCTTTACTGCAGTAATTACATTCAGCATTAATTGTGTTTAATGAGTATTTGTTCAGCTGCACTCAAATGTTGCATTGGTTCATACACGTGGAAAGCATTTAAAGTTTTCAGCAAATTAATTTGAGGACTGATTGCTGTTTATCAGACTCAACTTTCCAATTACAATTACAGCCTTGGGTTTAGTAGGTTTAATCCTGGGAAATCGTGTTAAGAGCCAATTTCCCATAATGCTTTTGTTGGCTTTCTCAATCAGACAGGTGCACAATCTGAGATCCCTGATGAAACCAAAAGCCAGCAGGAATCATAAATGCTGAAGTCTGAAGGGTCACTTTAGTGCTGCACAGGAACATCTGAGCAACATGGAGAGAAACAACACTTCCCTTACAACCATCCCCTCAGAGGTGATGGTGACTCAAGCGCCTACTATTTTCCCAAGAGTGGGCTACAGTATTCTGTCCTTTTTGATGTTCATCAATACAGTGTTTTCGGTTTTTAACAACGGACTGGTGATTGGCGTGATGTTGAGGAACACATTTCTTCTCCAGCCCATGAACGTTTTGGTCCTCAGCCTGGCGGTTTCTGACCTCATGATCGGCCTGTGTGGCTCGCTGGTAGCCACCATCACAAACTACCAGGGCTCCTACTTTATTGGCCACACAGCCTGTATTTTCCAGGGATTTTCTGTTAATTATTTTGGTAAGTAAAGCTGTAAGGATTGGGAACTCTGTGATTGGAATTCAGGTTCCCATAATGTATATCATGATTTCCATTTATTATTATTTCTATTTATTATTACTTTTGTCGATTTCAATTTATATTTTCTGTCTTTAATAGAAGAGTATGTAAACTTTCAAGCACAGCTGTAAAATACTTCTCAAACTCTCCATTTAATTAAGAAATGGCCTGTTGTAACTCTACCTGTATGACTTGTTACATGAACACTATTGCATAATGCAATCTTAGACCTCTTAAGCAATTATTTCTAAAAAATTCCCTAATTTGTGGCTCCAAACTCACTTTTTCTTTCATTAATTTGTTCCTTTTTTCTTCCTTAGGTCTGGTTTCTCTCTGTACTCTAACCCTTCTCGCCTTTGAGCGTTACAACGTAGTGTGTCGCCCAAAAGCTGCTTTTACCCTAACCATGCGGAGAATCATTAAGGGGCTCCTGTTTGTCTGGATCTTCTGTTTGTTTTGGGCTGTTACTCCATTATTTGGCTGGAGCTCTTACAGTCCCGAAGGGGTCCAGACGTCCTGCTCTCTGGCGTGGGAGGAGAGGTCCTGGAGCAACTACAGCTATCTCATTCTATACACACTGCTCTGTTTCATCGTTCCTGTTGCAGTCATAATCTACTGCTACTTCCATGTGCTGAAATCCCTGAGAAAGGTGGACACCATTTACACCACTAAGAATTCTTAAAATGATCAAGTTGCACTCTTCTAAAACAAGTTTTTAGGTTTTAATAGCAGCTCAAATGTACTCTCCATCAGTTGAACAGGAGCATTGAGCTGCAAGGTGGCCGTTCCAGGAAGAGTGAGAATGATCACGCCATCACCATGGTCTTGGCAATGATCGTATCCTTCTTTGTATGCTGGCTGCCCTACACAGCCTTGTCAGTGGTGGTAGTGGTGGATCCAGAGCTGCACATTCCTCCGCTCGTTGCAACTCTGCCCATGTACTTTGCAAAAACCAGCCCAGTCTACAACCCCATAATCTACTTCTTTTGCAACAAGCAGGTAAACAGATATTGTGCATCTAACAGCATTTTTTTTTAAATTGTCGATGCATTTCCTGGCAGCACATTTTTGTGTGTTTACATCCAACAGTTTCGTGACTGTGCTCTAGAGCTGTTGTCGTGCGGGCGGTACGTCCCCAGAGGGCCCACCAACGTCAGCATCCCTCTGTGCTCCTTGAACAGGAGGAGCTGTCTGTCTTCCATAAGCAGGAGCGCCAGCACGCACAGCAAGGTGTTGCCTCTGTGACTTTTTCCCGGCCAAAACAAACAAGGTGCCATTGTTGACAGCGTTTGTTGGTGCCTCGTCAAGAATACAGGGCTGAGAATGGAGGGGGGGAAATGTCAAGGAAACTTTCCGGAATGTGCTAAAGCTTTACAGCTGCAGTTCACTGAATTAGATATTATTCAGAAAGTTTTTTTATTTTATTTCAGTAAGTCAGTTTTGAAAGTGAGAATCACAAGTTAAATACATAAAAATCAAGATTCTACTTCTGTTCATTTTGATGAGTATCATTTACAGCTAATGAAAAGCTCAAACATTTTGTTTCTAAGAAATTTAGAATAGAATGATTTTTACTTAAGGAATGTGAGAAGATATATATCCTTTACTGGACAGTTAAGACACTCGATACTTGGTTGGTGCAGACTGCTGACTTTTCACATATTTTGTGGCTCACCGTCCACAAGTTTGGTCTGCCAGAGAACATCAATTCAATTTAGTATATTTCTATAGCGCCAATTCACAACACACGTCATCTCAAGGCACTTTACAGTTCACCAGATCATACAGTCAAACTGATTAAAAGTTTTCTATCTAAGGAAAACCAGTTGATTGCATCGACTCATTGACTCGAAGGCAATCCCTCACACTAAGCATGCTTGTAGCGACAGTGGAGAGGAAAATCTCTCATTTAACAGGAAGAAACCTCCAACAGAACCAGACTCGGGGTAAGCGGCCATCTGCCGAGGCTGACTGGGGTTGAAGGAGACAGAAGCAGACATAGTAAGAAGCATAGATACAAAAGGCAACTGTAAACCAGCTCCACAGGCGGCCCTGTCCAGGAAACACACAGCCAGGCAGACAAGCTCCAACCAGCTCCCATGTCAGAGGATGATTGAGCACATCCAGACAGTCACAGTCAGAGAAACAGGACTACACTGAAAAACAGGCTGATTTCGAACATCTATAAACAAAGGTGTTGATGGCAGCAGCACAGCTTATTTTTCTCTTGAGGATGAAGTCACAGCCAAACAGGAACAGACCAGATGAAGCTACTATGAGAAAAAGCAGAGAGAGCAGAACGTTAGAGATTGAACTAACAGAATCTGCAGAGTGGGAGAATAGAGATAGAAGAAAAAGGATGAAAAAGGGGTCCCTATGTCCTCCAGCATTCTAAGCCTATAGCAGCATAGATATAGAGTTAGCTCAGGATAACCTGAGCCACTCTAACTATAACCTTTATCAAAAACGAACGTTTTAAACCTGCCCTTTAAAGTAGACAGGGTGTCTGCCTCACGGACTTAAACTGGTAGTTGGTTCCATCACCGATTTAAAGATGTCTGTCCACAAAGTGGTGTGTCCAAGCAATTCAGTGAAAGGCTGAATAGATGGTCAGCTACAGAAAAGGTGAATCAAAAGTTAAAAGCCATCAAACACAGAAGTATTCAGGATATGAACTACAACTGTTTTTTATTGAAGGTGTTCTGTATTTATTCCTGGAAGGGAAACATCAGAAGTGTCTTACTGTCCCTGTGTTAGAAGAAGCAGGGCAAGAAGATTGCTCAGTCATCCAAACCTCTGAAGGTCTGTTTTATAATATTTTTTTCATTATTATTTGAAACTCAAAGACCTACAGTTAGTGATGATTTGATTAATCTGCTGTTGGTGCAGTGGGTTTCATTAAAACCAAAGTCCAAACAGAACATTCATGCTTCTCTCAGCTGACAGGCCTCCTTTCCCTGCAGTGATCACTGTGTTTTAGTGGTCAGCAAACCCATCAGGCCGAAACCCTGACGGGAGTCTGTTGAATATTGTCAGGAGGAACATGAGAGACACCAGGTCAACAATGCAAACAGGATGTTGGATCTTAACACCTCAGCAAAACCGATCCCTCTGATTCCCCTCAAATGCTGCTATACAGTGATGTAGTAAATAAGGGGAAATCAATATTTGTAAATGGTACATAATGTTCCTTAACATAGTCCTCAGTGGGCTCAAATTTCTTAATTAAAAACCTTTTTTATTAGGCGTATGTAATGAAAAATGACTTTTGGGTTTACATTAGCTTTAAGGCATAATCATTAAAATGAACTAAAATAAATATGTTCCTCTGCATGTAAAGACTTACTATATCAGTTTCACTTTTAAAATTAAATAACAGCAATGATATGCCCATTTATCAAGCTGTACCTGTGACTGGAAGATGTTATTTCTGTTTAAATGTTGTTGAGACTTTCTTTGTGAAATTAGTTTTCCTTTTTAACGTTTTATTGCTTGCTGCCCTTTGTTCTCTCTGCCTATTTTAATTTAATGACAGCGAGTTACTTAGTGAGACAATTTAATTTCTCTGATTTGTTTCAGATTTGTTTAGAGGCATGCTGTGTTGAAGGACGACAAAAAAATTGCTGAATCGAAAGAATGTTTGGCTAGAACTGTAGCTGCCGCCTGTAATTTTCCATTTGTATGCATATTTAACGAGACCAGACAAAGCAATCACAGGCAGTTCAGACAAACAGGAGGAAGTGAAATCTCCTAAAAGGCAATGTACCTGGATTCATTTGCTCAGTAAAAGTATCTCCTTTAAGAAAGTTTCACAGTTTCCGGTTGCCTTGTACTGAAATATCAAATAAACACATAAAAAGGGATGTTTTAAACCCATTTTGATTGCAAAACAGAGCAGCTTATTCTAGAAGTTTTATGCAAAAGCAACTGAATGGATTAAATTCAGAAGAAGTAGCATTTTGTATATGGTGGATTTCATAAAGTCTAACCAGGCAGCAGCAGAGAAAGTTAAGCTGAAAAAAAAAGAAGTTAGGTATAAGTATAATTTAAAATAGTAACTCTCCCCTCATTACTGCTAATCATTTGAAAAGAGTCCAGTTTTGCATCTATCATAATTACAGAATGCTGAGAAACTATAAGCAAAACCCACTTTTGTTTAAAAGCCAAAAAATCTGAATGCCGCCAATGCTACAACCAGTGAATTGTACAGGTTAGTGCATTACTTGATGAAAATAAGTAGATGCTTTGGAAGGACATACAGCACTGCCAACCCCAGTAAAGGTGTTTTACAAGTCTTCAAATAAATCCTCTTTTATTGCAGAAAAATAACCCTAATCCTTGTCTGAAAAATACAACCTTTAATCAAAACATATTTATTCAATGGGGAAAAACTGAGACATCTTTATCCCCATATTCATTTCCAACTTTTGCCGATCTCCATTAGATAAACATTACTGAAGTCTTGTTCAAATTTCTACTTTATGTTTAAAAAAAAGATCAACATGTTGGGGAATTTTCACTTCTTGAATCCTGTCCTCAGTAAACCCCCTGCCTTTAGGTATAAATATGCAACATAGGTTAATATCTCTTTAACACTCTTTAACCCTTTAAAGCCCGATTCAAGAATAAAACAAAACAGAAAATTACTTTTTTTGGGGTTTGAAGTCCTCATTTGCCCTTTTAACAAAATATGTAAAAAGAAAAAACAGAAATACATTTTTGATATTAATAATGTATTATTTTTATTATTTATTATTATTTTTTGTGTTGTCTTGTACTGGATTTTGAGCAAAGTTTTTACCATTAAATTATGCAAAAGGTGTCAGATGCAAAACATTTCAGAAACCGTATGTATCAAATATGATACATTTGGCATTATAGGGTTAAAATGGAAAATACCAACTAAAAAAACCCAACTCATACAATATGAGTAATGCTGATAAAGAAATTCTTTCCCTAACTGGGGAGACTGCAACTTTCCCTAACCTCAGACAAGTACATATTTACATATATATATATATATATATATATATATATATATATATATATATATATATATATATATATATATATATATATATATATAAAGCAAAGAAACCGACTCCAAAGCTCACTGTCACATAATTACGATAAAAAGGAGAGAAATGGGCGAAGCTGCTGTATTTGGTTGTGCTGTTGAACAAGAATAAGGTCGAACGACTGACCTCTTTCAGTAAAAGAGAATTACCGGTAGTTGTGTTTGACCTTCAGTACTCCTGAAATTTGAAGTTACTCTTCATTTCTGAACAGCAGATGCTAACCTTCCATTTTTTTCAAATTTTGTTTAATAGTAAAATATTTCAATCTTGTCTGCTTCAATGGGCTTTTTTATCGGCTTTGAAAGTGAACCGTTTTGCTTATTTTACACGAGGCTGCATATATTGTCTATTAATGTTGTCCTGATACTAAAATAAAGGAGAAATAAAAATCTATTTAGTTTCCAAGAGTTTTTATCCATATTTTTCTCAGAGATTTTTCCCCTGGTGTAATGTTTTGGATGCTCCGGACTGTATCTTATTGTGGTAATCTAATCCCAGATTTATCATGGCTCCATAAGCTTCTGCATTTGAAGCAAAGAGCGTTTCACACTTTATCTCCAAACAGGATTACACAATGTCAAACTATAATCCTGCAGAATTGTTCCCATCATTTCCAGTGCTAATTCATGAACTCCTATCTCGTCCATCTGGATTCACCAAAGCCAGGAGTTAAACCTTTTGGACTCTTAATCAAATTAAATGGACGGCTGTTCCTGTCGTCATAACAGTGCTTCAGCACCTTGCAAAGGTGCTTATACCCCCTAAACCCTTTTTCTAGATTTCACATAATGTAGTAATTTAGTATTGGCTACATAACTTTGATTTTATGCGATGGACCATGTTTCTGAAGTGTAAGGAAATATTGCTTGCACAGGTCTTAGTCACCTTTACAATGACATCACAGAATAAAATTTAACCAAACCTATTACTTTAAAAGGTCACTTTATTTGTTAGCAGAGTCCAGCTGTGTGTAATATATATTTATATATTTGTTTTCGGTATAGATAATGATCTATTGATAATTCCTTGTTGACCAGACGTTTCCTTTAAAAGCAGAGTCCAGCTAACTTTCATGATTTTGTTGTGAAATGAGGGAAAACCAACTTTTTGAGTTTACTTTTGTGACTCGATGTTCTTTTAATGTTCAATGTTAACAATATAAAGTAAGGCTAAGGAGATGCTTCCAATTAGAATAACATTGTAGGTTCCACAGAATGTCAATT